TGACAGGAGATATAAAGACATTCCCCAAGCCAGGCGTGGTGGCGCACTCCTGTAATCCCAACACTTGGGAGGCTGAAGCAGGAGGATCGTTGCAAGTTTGAGGCCAGCCTCAGCTACAAAGTGAGCTCAAAGTCAGCCTGAACTGCACAGTGAGACCCTGTCTCACAAAAAAATTCCCCAAACTCTATATAATCAAAGCTATAAGCATGTAAAATGTCTAAATGCTTTACATGGAGGTGAGGATGACAGAGACAATGCCCGCCTTTTTTACCCTGCTGTATTTTTCAACTATACACATTTATTATATTTGTAATTAGGAGAGATTGATAGTATCAGCAACACACATACAGGAAGAACAAGTCACAAATATATTAGGCGATTTTCTTTTGCTGGGTCCCACAGCTAGATAACAGTGGAGCCAGCACTTGCCTTTGAAATATTATGGTCTTGGAGAAAAAGTTTGAAGAAGAGAAACAGGAAATTTAGAGAGTTCCTTCGTGGTAACTCCATTTTCTCACTAACATGGAAATGGTTGTCCACTAAGAAACAAAACTAGGGAAAAACAAAGGAATTGAGGGAAGGGAATAAAAAAGAAAAAAAAAAACTGAAAAGGAATCATCATTATAAGCCTGGGGAGGAACCCAACCAGGGCTAAGTAAATGGATTACTCAGCAAAGATGAGCTCTGCTAAGATTGGAATTCATACATTTGTAATGGAGCCAATCAGCACAGTTATATAATTTCCTCCCAGTAGTGCTAGGAGAGTGCAGAAGCCGTTGAGTCAGGATCAGCAGGACAGGTGTAGCGTGCAGCAAGAGCTTTAAAAATCATGAGGGAATGTGTTAGTCCGCTTTGCACTGCTGCGCAAAGTAACTGGCATAAACAACTACAGGAAGGAAGGTTGCCTCGGCTCAGTTTCAGAGGCTTCGGTCCGTGGTCACCCGGTTCCAAAACCGCGGCCTGAGATGAAGCAGAGAACCACGGCTGGAGGCTGAGGTGGAGGAAGGCTCCTCACCTCAGGGTAGCCAGGAAGCACAGACATGGGGAAGGAGCCAGAGAGGGAGGGCCGGAGGAGACGCGGTCCCCAGAGGTCACACTCCCATGAGCCTCTCCCTTGCACTAGGCCCCACTTCCTGTTTCCGACAGCCCAGTAGCACCATTGAATTCCGACCTTGTGGGGGATGAATCCACGGAGGAGGGCAGAGACCTCCTGACCCAACTGTCTTCTACCTCTGAACGCAGGTGACTGTGGACCTTTTCGATCTAAACCATAAGGGACTCACAGCTTCACAGCAGGTAAGGTAACTGAAACTGCCTCCTGTCCCTTCTGAGAACAAACTGAAAAGAGAAGGATTAAAAAGAATAAAGTCACACAGCACAGAGCAAGGGAAAGAGAGACACCCTGTTTTCTGAGATGGTGAGGAGACAGGAACCCGTTCACGTGCAAAGGGTACTCTGCAGGATGAGGAGCCAGCTGCCCACAGGAATCTGCACAGATGAGAGCTCGAGTCTGCAGATGTGACAGGTAACAGAGGGACATGGGTGAAATATTGTGGACCTCCCTGGGGGTCAGAGGGAGAGAAACCACATGGACAGGTCTTTCCATTCTCATCTTACACCACCCTGGTTCCAATTCAGGGTCCAGAGATTCATCAGAAAGTTCTTCTCTAAGAAACTGGAAAAAATTAACAGCCCAAATGCCCATCAGCCAATGGACAGATAAAGAAGATGTGGTACAATGGAGTACTACTCTGCCATAAAGAAGGATAAACGTCAGCCATTTCTAGATAAGTGGATGGTGCTCAATTCAGCAGCACATATACTAAAATTCTAGATAAGTGGGTATACCTGGAGACAGAATTCTTAAGTGAAATAAATTGGACACATGTTCAAATACCACATGCTTTCTCTGGTGTGAGAAACCAGAAGTGTACATAAGGACCAAAATGTATAATAGTATTGTGAAATAGGATGAAAGTGCTCCGATGGGGAGGGGAATTGGGGAGTCAGGGGAAGAGGAAAGAAAAAAAGAGAAGAGAAAGGAAAAATGGAAACAAAGCTTTGGTAAATAAGGAGAGGAAGGGATTGGAAAAAAAGAAGAATCAAGATATATCACATATAGATACAAATTCTATATGATGAATGTTATTAATATGTATATATACAAGTACCAATAAAATTAATTAAAATAAATAAATAAACTAATAGAAAAAAATTAATAAAGCTAAGCTTCTACTCTGGCATTGACAACTCAGAAGCAAACACCCTCATTCTTATATTTGGGGTGAAGGAGGAGAAGGACATGCCCTGAGAGATGCTAGACTGAGTGCTGTCAACCTGCAAAGCCCAGAAAAAAATAAATAAAAAGTTGACCCATAAAACCAAACGATAAGACATAAGATATAAAACAATAAAAAAATTCTAATTGCATGCAGAGAAAGAGTTGAGAAAATAACACTCTCTAAAACAACATTGGGATGCTATAAAAAGAGAACATTCAAAATTCAACAAAGAAAATATTATCCTCAAAATAAAAACTTACATAAACAATAGAAAACAAGGTTTGGAAAAAGCTCTCATAGAAAAAGATTCAACCAGTAAAGAGACAGCCTACAGAATGAGGGAAAGATGCTTGCCAGCTACTCAACAGGCAAAGGACTAATAACTAGAATATATAAAGAACTCAAAAAAATTAAAACACCTACAACTAAAGATCCATCAGAAAATGCACTAGAGAAATGAACAGACCCTTCACAGAGAAAGAAAGACAGATGGCCAACAAATTATGAAAAAATATTCAACATCTCTGGCCATTAGAGAAATGCAAATTAAAAGAGCACTAAGGTTCTATCTTACCCCAGAAAGAATAGCATCTTTAGAAAATCAAACAATAGCAAATGCTGGCAAGGCTGTGGTGAAAAAGGAACCCTCCTATATCGATGGTGGGAATGTAAATTAGTACAACCACTATGGAAATCAGTATGGAGATTTGTCAAAGAATTGAAATTAGAAATGTCATACGACCCAGCTATCCCCCTGCTAGGTGTCTCTTCTCCGGAGAGTTTAAGCCATCATACTACAATGATGCTTAGGTACCAATGTTATAGCAGCACGATTCCTAACAGCTAAATCCTAGAAGCAGCCTGTGTACCCATCAACAGATGACTGGGCAGAGAAACGTGGCACTGTATCTATATATACCAGAATACCACTCAGCTGTGAAGAACGGCAAATCTGAAGCATTTGTAGGAAAATGGATACACTTGGAAAACACAATGTTGAGTGAAATAAACCAGTCACACGAGCTTGAAAACCACGTGGTATCCTTCATTTGAGTGAGGCAAAGCACAGACAAAGAAAATGTAAAAGATGGGTAGGAGGGAACAACGGGGACAGATTTGGTACACTAGGGAAACGACCCAGGGAAGGAGGAGAGGGGGGAGGGGGAGGGGAAGGGGAATCGAGAGGAGTAGAGCTATGCCATGTACAGGAACCTGAGAGCCCTCATCAATGTAAATGTCGTAAACCATAACATGTGCTAAGACAAACAGTATGAGGTATGAAGAAGGTGACTGGGGAACCGGACGAGGAGCGGGCAGGAAGGGGAAGGAGAAGGAGCTGTAGCATGCACACTGAACCGCTCCCACGGCGACTGTAAACTGCATGAATTACAAATGCGTACCAGTAAAGTCAAATTAAATTAAAGTTTAAAAAGACAAAGTATGAAATATCAGAGAATAAATAAAACACACAGAGTCCATAAGTTCCAACATCAGATTAGCAGGAGTCCTGGAAAACACAGGGAAAATGAACAGGCAAAACTGAGTAATGCAATACTCGAAGGAAACTTCCCTAAGGTTAAAAAAAATGCCTGCTAAATTAAAAGGGCGCACAGATAAGCAATGGATGGGCAAAGTGTGTGGAGACGCCGCTCCATCCGTCATCCATCCATGCACCATCCAGCCTTCATGCAGCAAACACCATGCATTGTTTCGACGACAGGGACACAACTATTACATAGACAGCTACACTGATTGCTTTCAAGGAGCTCTTATTTAGAGCACAAGTCAAAAGCAAAGCAAATACTTGAACAAGATATTTTCACATGGTATGAGCTCTGCAGAGAACTGAAAAGGAGTAACACGATCAGGAGCAGAGAATGGGCTCCGTTAGTCTGCAGAGGGAAAGTCGGTCAGGGAAAGAGGCGCTGTTGAATGTTAAACATAAGCTATGTGGTCTGTACCTCAGTTTTGTCATCTGTACAACTAGGTCACCAGCAGCACTGTCCTGACAGGGTTGTTGTGAGGATTCCCGGGTGAATGTATGTAAATAAGAGAGTTTGGCAGGCAGTAGGGACAGCACAAGTGTTAGCTGTGTTTCGTACCCTTGTCACCGGCACACAAAGCTCTCCAGCTGTATTATTACGTAAGAACAAAGCTCAGGAAAGGCTACGTACAAAGCTCTGTGCTGAATATGAAACAGAGAAAAATGGAAATGTGCATTCAGCGTGTTTCATGTGTAAGAAGCCCTGGAAGGGTGCACACGTGTACCAAAATAAAAGCGGGGAAAAGGCGCTGACGTGATGTGTCTTTGGTTGGAAAAGTGGAAAGTAAGTGAATGGAGACCATCAAGGCTTTTGACTATACATTGCACGTCCACTGAATTCCATGTTTTTAAGCTATGTGAACATATTACTCATTCGATGGTAAAAAAAAAAGGACAATTTTCATTAATCCGATCAGCATTCTTTCCTTGTCTTCTGCAATCAAGTCGCTACAGAAGTCACTCTGTGAAGATGAAAAGGGACAAAGGCCAAGCAGAGACGGTGGCCTCTGCCCTCCAGGAGTGCGGGCTCACTGAGAGACAGCGCCACACAGAAGAACGGCTGGAGGGAGGGGCGGGGCCCGACCCGGGAGCATGCGCACACAGGGGTGCGCAGGGCCGGATAGAGCACTTCGCATTTCCGCAGGCTGGCGGGGGTAGCCTTCAGACGTACTTACCCTGTCGTATACGGGATGTTTATGCCCCCTAGATTAATGCTTTCACATCCAACAATGAACAGGGTTGAAAAGCACAGTAAAGACACACCACTGCAGATCATGGCTAGTTTTGCAGATTCTCTTGCACCAAGTTTCAGTTTTTTTATAATGTAGCCTCCCAGGACAATTCCAACACCAGCACTGGGGACGATAATAACACCTGGAGGGGAGAGGGGAGAGGGTTCATTCGAACTGCTGCAGATCATCATTTATCTTTTCTAATTATTCGGTTTCTACTTGCTCACTAGTAGTAAGGAAAAGAATAAAAAATTCTGTAATCAATAAATCTTCAGTGTGTGACCTTCTAGTATATTATTTTGAAGGGGTACAATTAACAAAACTCATAGTCAAATGTATTACATTTTTTTTCCAAAGTAATAAAACAAAAACAAACAACCTATTACAAGTGAGCTTGTTGTCATTCGGTAGAGTTGAAGATATACAGAGACCGGGGATGTAGCTCAGCGGCATAAGCGCTTGCCTGGCAAGCCTGAGGTCATGAGTTCTATTCCCAGGACCAAAAAAAAAAAAAAAGAACCAAGATATATACACCTGTAACAGGCAACTGCATCCAAGAACCAAGATATATACACCTGTAACAGGCAACTGCATCCCTGGCTCTGTACCCTGAGGAAACGCATGCACACGGGTACCCAAGGAGGTGTACAAGATATTTGAAGCATCGTAAGACCACCAAACTGTAAATAAACCAAATGTCCATTAGCACACACGTTATGTGTAATATATTCATACAGTAGAGTACTACTATACAGCAATCCAAGGGACACAGCATAACATATAAAAGTATGTGGATGAATCTTACAAAGAATGTTGGATGCAAGAAATAAAAGGCAACAGAATACACACGTTTGCACCTGCACTGAATTGAAGAAACTGTAAAACTAAACCATAATGTTTAAGAATGCATATACAGCTCTGATGAAAACACAGGAAGTAACTGCCACAAATGCCAAGGGGTGGTAGGAGGAGTGGGGTCAGATGAGATACCTTTGGCACTGAAATTACTCCATTCCATAATCTGGGGAATTGTTGCTACCACGGTCAGAATGTGTGCCCCCCCATGTTCACGTTAAAGTTCTCACCCAATATCAGAGTAGTATGAGGTCAGGGCTTTTGACCTGATTAAATCACAAAGGTGGAGGCCACAAGAATGGGATTAGTGCCCCAATAAATGAGGTCAGAGAGCTTTCTCTCCCCTCCTGCCATCTGAGACCATGGAAGGTGTCCTCTATGAAGTATCGGCATCTCACCAGACACTAAGTCAGTCTTGCTTTGGTCTTGGGTTCCCAGCCTCCAGCGCTATAACAGACACATATCTCTTGCTTATAAGCCACTCTGTCTATGCCAGTGTATGCTGTTATGCCCCCCGCAAACAAGCTACAAGTGTTTCCTTTATATTTATTTCTTATTTCTCAGTTTTGGTTAAGATACTTCCAAGTATGTGATGTTTCCCGGCCAAAAATAAATAAGTAGTCACAAGAACTTACAATCTACCCCAAGAACATTACAATCTAAAAGAGAAATACAGAGGTTAATAGAAAATTAGAATTCAATACAAGAACTATACAAAGTGCAGAGAGAATACGGGAAAAGAGGCACCAGAGTCTCCCCCAGAATAAATCAAGCAGGGCTTTTCACGGTGGCAACACTGGAAGTGACCCTCAGCAAATGAGACAGGACCTGCCCAGTGGACAGGCAGAGAGAAAACATTCCGTACAGTGCGAACACCCTCAGAGAAGCAGGAGATGACAGGACTGAGGACTCGAAGCAGGCCGAGTGTGGAACACAAGCTGCTAGACCACGGTGGGATATGGGGTCAAGGACTGAGAAGACTGAGAGCACGAGAGAGCATGAAAAGCAGCTCAGATGGGATCTCTGGCCCATGGGAGGCCACTGGAGCGTCTTGTGCTGGGTCGGACATGGGAGCTGTGTATTTTGAAGATCGTTCTCACAGTGAGAAGCAAGAGTTTAGACAGGTGAAATAGTAGTCAGGGAGAGCTCAGGAGGGTAACTGCAAAGATGCTGGGAAACCATCACAAGCTCGGCTCCAACAGCACAATGAATCCGACAAGGACCATGGACGAATCTAGCGCACAACACCCGGACAGGGCTGGGATCCGGAACGTGAGGCGTCTCAGTGGTCTCCATCGTGGGCATGTTGGCTGTGAAGGGCCTGCAGGACAATCAGGGAGAAATGCTTCACACTGCTGCCCTGTGTGTGGGGCACGAGCTGGGCTGGGGGACATGTAGCCTGTAGCTGAGCTCGTGGCAGAGACAGGAGGTTGTAAGAGGGCTCATAGTAAGAGCACCAGAGTTAATGGGGTGGCAGAAAGGAAGAGCCCTTCGAGGAAACTGAAAGCAGCTCCACCCGCAAGAGGAGCTCTAGAAAGGAGAAATGTCATAACGGGACAAAACTTGGGGTTTGGGTTCTGAAAATAGTTGTGTGATCTTGCACAAGACTGTGAAACTCTCTAGGCCCGGTGTCTTCCCTCTCCCATGAGCTGTCCCCTTCCCCGCCTGAAGGAGGATCACAGGCGCTCTCTGTAAGTGGACACGGCACAGAGCCATGGCGCATGTTACAAACGGCAGTGACAGTGTTACAGCTGTGCCATCAAAAGCCAAGGAGAGATAGTTTCAAGGGGAAGGCGTCGGTGATGTCAAATGGCAAAGGAATCCAACAGGAAAGGCTGAAAGGAGGCCATCGTGTCACTGGAGACATCGGCAAGAGCAGTCTCAGGGCACAGGAAGGGCAGACTGCGGTGTGGGAGCCGTGCCCGGCAGTCGGCAGCCTGGGAAGGCAGACCGCTCTTTCAGGAACTCTGGGTATAAGAACGCGGGCACAGTCTAGGGTGAAAGAGGAGCCTCAACGGGGCTTGGGGGAGACTTGTCTGCTTTTGCTAAGATGCAGAGAGGACTTCGGCAGATTTATATATGGAGGGCACTAGACAAAACGGAGTGAGGTTGAACATGGAGGGGAGCGACAGCCAATGACAACGCAAGATCCTTGAGAAGTCAGCAGGATGTGGGATCAGCAGCGCAGATGTCAGCTGCACCCTGGAGGAGGCCTCATCCAAGCCAGAACGGAGTAAGAGGGGCGCAGGGGTCCGTAACCCTGTTTTCCTGCTTGGTTAATTTTCCATTACTTTAGAAACATAATGTGATCATGTTGTAACCAAACATGTGAAAAGCAGAAAAAAGTAAGAAATAAAAGCGCACTGCTTACATTCTGGCATCTTTCCTTCCAGCATTTTTCCTTTGGAAATTGATAACGTGCTGTAGATTCATATTTTAGCTTGGGTTTGGGCAGAAGAGTGTGTTCTGTGCAACTGAAAACAAAACCAACCCTTAGTGGGAAGGGATACTGAGAACTTTCCATGAGGCCGAGGGTTGGCATAACTGTGGCGAGAAAGACAGGCAAGCGCTAGACAGGAATAGATCGTAAGCTCAGCAGATGGGAGCCCTGGGTCCGGCGACACCAGACACCACAATTCAGCAGCTGCTTCAGCGCACCCTGAAGGACGGTTTGTTCCAACATGCTCAACAACCGCCAGGAAGGGCACCAGAGGACAGAACTCTGAAATCGAGAGCCTTGCCTGACAGCCAGCGCTCACTTTGTAATTCCCATCAGAGCCTCCTGAAATCACGAGAGGCCCTTTTACACAGGAGGAAGTTGAAGACTCAGAGCGGGGACTTGCCCTATAGAGAGGGGAAAGGAGGGAAACAGACAGAGAGAGCGAGCCGTCCACAGAGCCGCAGCAGCCCCTCACAGCCCACAGGGCCCTGGGGTCTTACAGCTAAACTGAGTGCCGCTCAGAGAAAAGGAAGCCAGTTAGGGACGTATCTTCCTCATTAAAGCAAAGCACACAAGCTCTCCATGTGATTAGAGAAGCCAAGCTTTACCTTTAGAATGAAAATGGTCCATTCATAAAACTCCTACTTCCGCTGAACAATTTATGGAGCGGCATGTGCTATGCTAGACCCTCAGGTAAGAGATTTTTTTTAAAAAAAGCCCTAAATCCTTATTCTAGAAACTGGGTCATACCTAAAAGCCAGGATAATTTATTTGACTAAGCATCTTAATTAGTGTTCAGCTCTTAAAAACAAAATGTGCCATCAGTAAATGTGCAGATACATCAAGCACCAAACCCATTAACGTTTTCCCCCAGTGTCCCCCGTCATCTAAAATGCATGTACTAGGGGCTGGGGATTTAGCTCAGTGGCACAGCGCCTGCCTGGCAAGCGCGAGGTCGTGAGTTTGATTCCTGGTACCGGAAGAAAAACAAAACAAAACAAAAAAAACAAAAACAAATAAATTGCATGTACTCCCCAAAACAAAACAAGAAACAGCAACACAACACCCCCAGAAAGGCCCGACCGTTGATTCACGCTCATGTGTACCCCTCCCATGCGTGCAGCGTGAGGGGCCGGTGTCTGGCTTGGAGGAAGTTACCTTCCTGGGATGGGCGGGCGAGATTTGGTGCTGGAGAGCAGTGTGGGGAGCGGGTGGGACAGGAGAACCTTCTCACTGCCCTCTCTCAACGCCCCCTGCTCCGGTAAGCCAGCCAGGCAGTTTGGGGCGACCCTCTGCAGGCCCGAGTCAGCTTCTCCACCCACCATGTCTCCACCCAGCCCCCCGGCCCCACCGTGTGAGGATGGGGACGCATGAAGGACGGCCCTCAGCCAGAAGGTACCGTCTGGCTGCTGCCCTCCTCCTCCCTCAGTCCTGACTCCTGCTCCGAGCTGCGGCTCCCTCTCCCAACCCCAAGGGCCACGACTGGCCGGGCTGTGGCAGTCCCAGGGGACCGGTGGGGGGATAGTGGGCATTGCCTGGTGCCCTAGGGTAACACGGACATGTCTGAGGGACAGGGCAAGAGAGACCGAGTGTGGAAAAGTAGGACTGCTATGCCGAATCCAGAGTCTCCAGGTGTGAGGAACCGGGGCTAAAAGACCGAGGTCAATGCAATCCCAGATATCTAAGGGACACAGGTTCAAAAAGAAGGGAGGGGGGCGCTGGAGCCTGAGTTCAAAACTGAGCTCGGCCACTCAGGAGCTGCAAGGCTTCAGGCAAGTTACTGATCATTCGCAGGACTCAGATCCTCTCCTCCGTAAAATGTCCTCATGCGACTGTTAGGATCACGT